ATAAAATAAAATAAAATAAAATAAAGCACTGTCGTATCATGTAGACTTCGGCTCATCCCCTTCTGATTGGAGAGTGGGCTCTCTTTTCTACGTTTCCCTTTAGTGTCCACAGGCAACAGACATAGTTTTCACACTGTCGAATGCTCTACACCACGTTGGTGGGTCTTTTTCTCCCGTTTACCCAGGGATCTGGCGCTTTGTGCAACCATGCAGTCACCAGCAAAAAGTAACTTTGTGATTGGGAACATCACGTGGTTGGAGGCCTGCAGAGCCCAATCCACAAATACAACATTTTGGCTTCCTCACTTCCCGTTACAAATTTCCCTTCCTCTATCTTAGTAACTGATGTCCTTCCCGAGAAAACCTCCTATCTATCACTCACGCACCTCTAGCATCTTGAAGTATTTTGCTTTTATCAGAATGTTTTGGGAAACCTATCCTTCAGGCTGTAGCAGTGCCTTTTCGTGTCTAAAATGCTCCTTATCTGGCAGTCAGTTTAAGTCCATTTATGTGGTTTGGCCAGGATTTCCACTTCATAAAAGATGAATTCACTGAATCTAAAAACATATGTCCTTCTACAGATAATTATTCTCTTTAAACATCTGCCTTCTCTTATTTTCTCTCATCTTCTTTCTTCACGGTCAACAATTGGGTGGGGGGAGGGCTAATACTCAAGGATTGAAAATGTATTCTGCAATACTGAAGAAATCTTAGAATCAAATAAGGTCTCTTATTCTATTATAGTTCATTGCTATGAGCTATCAACTCACATTTTAAAATAATACACGCCATTATGAAGAAATTATTTTTATATTTACAAGGAGGGAAAAGATACACATTTCCTTAAATAGTTACCAGCATAGAAGCCAGGTTATTTTTAAGCTTTACCAAGATAGAATTTTCTAGCAAATAATTTATGTCAATATTAATTAGTGATTGTTCCTGAAATTATAGTTACTTATATGAATTCTGGTTGACATAGCCATCTGCGTCATAATATCATACAGTGAGCAGGTCTGAAATCAGTCACACCTAGGACTGAACCACAGCTGTGTAGCTAATATCTCTGTGATGCTGGGTAAGTTAATCAATCAATCAATCAATCTCTCTCTCAATTTCTTCATAAAGTAATGGACACTAAAACCAGCACTTTAGGGTTACTGTGAAGGACAGATCTGATCAATTAAAACAACTAGTATTTGTTTTTTTTTTTTTTTTTTTTTTTCAACGTTTATCTATCTCTGGGACAGAGAGAGACAGAGCATGAACAGGGGAGGGGCAGAGAGAGAGGGAGACACAGAATCGGAAACAGGCCCCAGGCTCTGAGCCATCAGCCCAGAGCCCGACGCGGGGCTCGAACTCACGGACCGCGAGATCGTGACCTGGCTGAAGTCGGACGCTTAACCGACTGCGCCACCCAGGCGCCCCAAAAACAACTAGTATTTGGCTTGAATTAGACATCTACTGATCTAACCTGCAGAATTAAAGATAAAATTGGTCCTCCACAGGTTTACAGAGTCTTTAAATGGGGAGAAAGGAAAGGAAGGGAAGGGAAGAAATGGGAAGGGAGAAAATGAGAATATTGTAACGTCATCATGCTGAACATCTGGGGTCAGCTTTGATGAACTGTGTCCATACTGCTCTAGGACAGAGGAGACCACAGCTCTGGCCAGGAGCTGAACTGGATGATGATCTCAAAGACACGGAAATTCTACCTACGTGTAGAGGTTGCTATCAGGTGTGTGTGCTTAGCTGCAAGCCTTTTCTTTAAAAAAAAATTTTTTTTTAATGTTTATTATTGAGAGAGACAGACAGAGTGCAAGCTGGGGAGGGGCAGGGAGAGAGGGAGACACAGAATCCGAAGCGGGGCTCCAGGCTCCGAGCTGTCAGCACGGAGCCCGACGCGGGGCTCGAACCCACGAACCGTGAGATCACGACCTGAGCCGAAGTTGGACGCTTACCCGAGCCACCTGGGTGCCGCCAGCTGCAACCCTTTTGAGCTGAGTACAATCTGTTCATGCAGTGAAACGTCAGAACGAGTGTGAGAGTTGAGGCACTGGGGGTGAGAGCAAGTGGACTGAAGAGAAAGAAGGACATGGGTGCTGGGGTAAAAAAAGAAAAACAAAACAAAACAGGAAACATGGGCCCGGGACATTGTCTGGAGATCTCGGAGTCCAAACCCAAAAGAAGCCAATAAAGGAGGCATACAGAAAGAAAAAAAAAAAAAAAAGCCTACAATTCAATTCAAAATAAGAGGAGACACGTAGAAAGGACAAGCAAATTGATTAATGACACTGACAACACTGCGACATAATGTTCAAGGTGAGGGTTTCAAACAACTTCTGGGGCGTGTGTGGCGGAAGAGGGACCTTTCCCTGAGCTTCCATTTCCTCACCAGGAAACAAAGGGCTCGGGATGTTCCTTAAGATTTCTTCTGGCTCTGCTCGGCCACCGTCTCAAACATTAGATAGACCCCGTGACGCGTGCGAGGCTGTAACCCGGGGTCTAGCCCATCCCGTCTAGACCTGCCGCAGGCAGGTGCCATCAGAAGAGGAAGGCCGGAAGCGGCTTCCTAAGCGAGAGGCGACGCGATCTCGGAAGGTGCGTGCATCCCAACGCCAGGCCCCCGGGTGCTGCCGTGGTGACGCCTTTCTTCTTTGGAATGGCTCCAAAGAGAGGGCAAGACAACTTAAAAAGGCAGGCAGGGACCGGCTACCGAGCCTTCCGCCTGAGACCTGCTGGGCGTCGCCCACGGGGAGCCCGCCACGCTCCTCAACGTCTCTTCTGGGGGGCGCGGGGGAGCCTGGCCACAGACCAGCGTGGGAGCCTGTTCAAAGGCACATTTAGGACGAGTTATGTGAAAACTGCCCGCAACAACGCTTTCTGTTCCCCCTTTTCCCCCCTCACATTGTTAGCATTTCTCAAATCAATGTCTCCACTTCCCTTCCTGTATTTTAATCTGACTCCCAGTTGGTGGAAAAGGTTTCAAAACCGACCCCGAGCTGATAAATAGCACCGGCTCGAGGGTAATAAAGGAACAGGGTCGAAGACTGAACTGCAGCCGGGGTTTAAGTAAATAACTACGCACAAGTCGGCGATGTGATCAAGAAAAATTTCATGGAGATGTTGCGTGTTTTTGTTTCAACGTTATGATAAATGGAGGCAATGCATGGGGAGTGAAAGCATGATTTTAGGCTTGGAAGGACACTTTAGAGCTCATTTCGATTCACTAAATATTTATGAAACCTTCTTGGTGCTGGGCAGTACGGTTACAAAAGCACGTCAGATCAAGTCCCTGTTTTTAAGCCGCTCTAAATATGTTCCGAGACGGACGTAACCCGTGCCAGTGCTGGGTCTCTGCTGCGCTCAAATCCCTGCTCTGCTCTGTCTCACCGGCCTGACCCCTGCAGGCTGCATGCTCCGGGGGGGGGGCCCAACTGGGCTCTGCCAGCAGAGCTCTGGCAAGAGATTAGAGGGTGAGAAGGCAGAAGCCAGGATCTCTCCCCTCTGCCTGCAGTCTCCAGAAGCGGCCCCGCTTCCCCTGGGGATCTTGCTCCCTGCCGGGACAGACCACTCCCGCAGGGTGACCCAGCTACTAGGCCCATACTACCATGTATTCCCTTTGGCCTTGCAGCCTAGGGCGGGGGGCACTTTCTGTGGGGGTTCACCTCCACGTTCTCTCTCGGACCTTGTATTGCCTCTGCAACCGATTCTTTGAATTAAAACACGCGATTTTAAATAATTAGCCTAGCTTCTGGATTCCCGGTTAGACTCGGATATACAATCCCTTGATGCTAACAAAGCAGAACAGATGTTCTTCCAGCAAAAATGACCATGAGCTGTGGGCTGGGATGAAGAAAGAAATGAATTTTGCTGGAAGTCTGGAGAAAACGTCACGTAGGTAGAAATCCCTATCATGATGGAACACTGACAAATGATAAGGGTTTGGTCCTTGAAACGTGAGCGAAATCTTAACAGTCGAGGGAGGAGGAAGGAGGCCATTCCATAGGGGGGACAGCATAACCAGAAGCTTGGAAATATGCTGCATGTTTCTGCACAGGGTGTAGTGAGAAAAAAAGAGGTAGCAAACAGGGTACAGAAAGGCTCCATTGTGAGGCTCCTGAAAGCCCTTCCAAGGAGTTTGAGATCACTCGGTAGGGAAGCGGGGCCCTTAACAAGTTTCTAAGCAGCCACAAGTTTGCACTCTGGTGTAAAGCCTGGAGTGAAGGAGGTTATGACATGGAGATCATCCACAGTAGCTTCTAGAGTCGAACAGAAGGTGATGACATCACAACCATCGTGAGGGCAGTTGAGAACACGGAGAGAAGCGGATTTGCCAGACGTATTGACGAAGAGAAGGACAGGATTAGGAAAAGATGGCTTGTAGGTCAGGGAGTAGCGAGAGTGGAAGAAAAATCCCATGTACCGTGTCGAAGCACAGAAATGAACAATGATGCATTAAGCCCATAGGTTATAGGCAATGAGTCTGAATTTTGAGTATGTTGAGTGTTGGGGTGGGGAGTGTGAAGAGGGTCTTAGAAATGTGAGTCTGGTACTCAGGAAGAGGTGAGGGTTAGGGATTTATATCTGCAGCGTAAATATTTCTATTTGGTTGGGGCATGGCGATGGATGAGGTGGCCACAGGAAGTGATAACAAGTTAGTGAAGGACTCAACTGAACTCTGAGGGACACCACACGTAATGGCCAGAAAGGAAAAGAAGAACCAGCAAGGAGGTGGAAAGACACAGATAGGAACTTAGGCAAGGGAAATAATTTGGGTGTTAAGAGAGAAGAAAGAAGTTTTAGGAAGTAGGAGGTGGCCGTGAACATATAAGAGCACAGATATCAAGCGAGATCATGACTGCGACGTCTCTCGGTCGGTGTTGGGATGGTTATTTTACAGGTTGACTTGTTGAGTTGTAGGAGGTCATCTTCTATTCTTTTACAGTTAAACTGCCCAAGGACTCAGAACTAGGGAACAGTAAAGCTGGACCAGAATGTTTCCCACCCAAGAGTCCACTCTCCATGATAAAAACTGAAGCTTCTCAAGGAGAAGTTCCAAAAGACTTGGCAGTCTACATCAAAGCCCTAACTCCCATCACTGCAAGAAATGCAGATGCTGTTGGTGGTGGTGGTGGTGGTGTTTTGTTTAGTCATTTTTTATATTTATCCACGGAACCTAAGAGAACTTACTTCTTAAAAAGTGAACCTACTCACCAGATCAAACATCCAAACAAATACAAAAATCAACCTCTAATTGAGGCATTTGAACTTAAACGATCCTTTCTGTCAAGTTCGGGTGTCAGCATGTGCCTGTACGATCTCTTTGGACATTGTACCTTTCCTTCATGGGAAAAACACATCTATCTTGAGAACCAGCAGTGAATACTCGAATGTTTTCCTTTCCCCGATTGAAACTTGCTAGAGGTAAATGAATTTCTAGTGTTATGTACGGAAAAATAATTTCCTGGCCAAGATCACAATGTATTTGTGAAACTTTCCGTTATATTTGAAATTTTTTTCTCATCTACTGTTTTTAAAGATGAAAGCAAGCACTGCTGTTTTATTTTTCACCATTTTTGAAGCATATTCATATTTTCTCTTAAACTCTAGGGATGGATCGGTGATAGGGCATCCTGGAAAGGCACAAGCTTTAGGAGTCAAAAAACAGTCAGTACAGATTGTACCTCCATCATTTCCTGGCTATGCAGTCTTGGGGGCAATAATTATAATAGGCAACACAGCGGGTGCTACTCTTTACCTGGTGCTATATTGAATAAAACGATGGATGAAACTTAAGTCTGGGCATTTTAGCATCTTATTTAAAGGTCACATTGGTTGACTGCAGCTCGGTTAAGATTAGGACTCAGTTCTGACTGACCTCAACGGTGACAGTGCCCAGCTATGACATTTCAGCAGCCTCACAAACACTACTACTTAGACTGAGTGGTTACGATCACTCAGTAAAAGCTCCATGCAAAACGCCCAACACAAGGTAACCTCGGTGGATAGGTGGACATTATAATGGGGATCGGGGGATGGTAGTTTAAAATCTAACCTTGGGGCTCCTGGGTGGCTCAGTCCCGACTCTAGATTTCTGCTCAGGTCATGATCCCGGGGTCATGGGATTGAGCCCTGAGTCGGGCTCCTCGCTGAGCGTGGAGCCTGCTTAAGATATTCTCTTTCTCTCTCTCTCTCTCTCTCTCTCTCTCTGTTCCCCCTCCCCTGTGTGTGTGCACTCGAGAGCCCTCAAAAAAATTAAAAATCTAACCTTGCTTAGAATTAGGACATCAACCGCAAAGTAAGGATTCTCCCAGGTAGTGTATACTATGCTGTTCGATCCCATCCGGACATAGTCAATTTTTTAAAAACACATTCTCTGCGAACCTCAATACGGCACAAAATTACTTGTGAGATATCTAATGATTTGTGATAATGATTTGTAAGGTATCTAACGATTTGTGATAATAGAGAATGAGATGATACCAAGTTTGGGGATTCATTTGACCCCACATTTGAAATCAAAATGTCCCTTTTTAAAAAGGGAGGGCGGAACTGTGGTGTGGGCTGGAAAGGAACCTTCCTGGGTGGAGGAAGTTTGGGACACTTCCACCTGCACTGGGGCCTCTCACTGACCACATGAGTCCTAAACTGCCAAGCTACCGACTAATTTCTTTCACACTCCTAACTCATTCCTTTACGCACCCCTTTAGGAGGCAGAGGATAAAATCCTAATGGCTCTCAGCATATTTCCTCCTGGGTAAGCCCAAATGAGTCCCCTCTCTGGGGCTCCCACTGGGCTGCCTTGGAACTTCCCAGAGCGCTGGCTGAGAAAATCTCTCTTCAGTCCCTCCAAATCACCCTCGAACCTGCTACTCTGACGAGGCCGGTGCCATTATTTAGTGCGCGGCAGCGCTGGCTGTTGAGGGTCAATTATTCCATTGACCAGGCATTACAATAATTCCTGGTAATTAAAAGAGGTACTTAATGTGAATCTGGGTGCATATTGAAAGAAACATTAGTCCTTTTGTCGTCTTGGCAAGTCCATTGTTCTGAGCCAGGCCCAACCAATTAACATCTTTGCCAATCCCTGTCCGATGGAGCTTAAAAAGGGAGGGAAGGGTTGGGGGGAGGCAGTCAGATGCTAATTTAGATACAATTGTGTCCGGGCTGTTTGGGAGGGGGTGGGTGCTGGCTCTAAGGAAGCCACCAGGGTTTAATGAAGCAAACAGCTTGGGTCCCAGTGACCCTGCAGGGGTAATTTTAAAAAGACCCCTCTGTGTTCCTGTGCCAAATAGCAGAGGGCCATCACAAGAAGCCCTTCCTTTAAAAAAAAAAAAAAAAAAAATGAAGAGAGGGATAATCATCCCTCATGTTTAATCTGCTCATTAGACAAATCTCTCAGGCGGACTTAACATGAATTAGCACTTCTCTAAAAAGGTAAAATGTGACATACAGCAGACAGTTCAGATCATTTGAAAGGTCACCGTTCTTTATTATAAGCTCAGTTGTTGTTAATGTATTAATATTCCACGATACTGAGCAAAGACCACCACCTTCATTCAACCTTGCGAGCAAAACAGTTTGTTTTCCTAAGTAACTGGAAGGACAACAACAGGAACACATTCGTCAGGCCCCAATACAGATCTAAGCACAAGCTAAATACAGAAGACACATTTTGCTCCTGTTTTTCAAACACAGGAATTAAGAGGGGGGAAAAAAAAATCTGAGTCTGGTTAACACCATCTACTGCCTTCCACCTAACTCGGGCTAGGCTCCCACGGGTGGCTAGGAAAGTGATAGATATTTGGGCTTCAACTGGTTCTGCATAAATCTCAGAAGCCCAGGGCACGCTGTCCCGGGGGACCACCTGGCCTGGAGCACCACAGCCTGGACAAGGCGATTCAAGGGGCTACGGCCCCAGGAAGATTCATGACTGACCGGGTCTGGGAGGCAAACTTCCTGGAAAACAGGGGAATCTTTTGTCCACAAGCAAGACACCGCACTGACATAAACACCTCTCTGCACAAATCTCCCAGCCTTATCTAAGGGGGATAATTAGTCTTCTTTTCATATTTACTTAATCATTCCAGAGTTCTGTGAATGGCCCTGTGGTTACCTTAAGATGGTGTTTGCAATGAGACACGAAGACACAATTCTCTAGTCAGCCTAAACCTCCCAACAGGAAGCTTATACCCACTGAACGATTGTTTCATTTGGGAAGAAGAAAACAAGCCAGGCCTGGACCACTTTTGGAAGAAATATTTAGTGTTTCCTATCACAAGGGAAAGAGGAAGGCACATTGCAAGAGAGATCGATGCTAAAACAGAAACCTGCGCACCAATGTCCACAGCAGTATTGTTCCCAATGGCCAAAAAGTGGAAACAACAACACAAATGTTCATCCACGGATGAATTAAGAAACGCAATGGAGTATACCGTGGCGGGGTTTAAGACATGCTGCCTGGAAATATGGCACCCAGGCACATTAATTTTAAGCTGAAGGCGTTTGAGAAAATGGGGTCTCCTCCCTCCACTCGTGGACCCACTGCAAAGAATCCAGACAACAGACCTCGCTAAATGCCCCCCAGTTTCTTACACTTAGCTCGGACCCTGCGCCCTATCATAACTTTCCATGACTTTCCACTCTTCACCAAACCTGGTGTAGAACCATTCGGGTTTAACCATTTCTTTGGGCCTTTATGTCCTTATGACGGTTCCCATGTGACATAAAAGTTACATAAATACATGTGTATGCTTCTCTCCTGTTAATCTGTCAGCTTAATTAGCAGACTCGGGCAGGGGACCCTAGGAGGGTCAAGCAAGAGTTCTTCTTCTACGAAACATTCAGTGGAGTCATGTTATTCGACCTTAAAAAGGAAGGAAATCCTGACATGTGCCACAACATGGATGAGCCTTGGATACATCATGCTAAGTGCAATCAGCTAGACACAAAGGGCCAATATTGTATAATTCCACCTTACATATGAGGTGCCTCGTCTAGGCAAATTCTTAGGGAAAATATCATAGGAGCTGGGGACAAGAGAGAATGAGGAATTATTTCAGAGGTTTTGACTGGGATGATAAAAAAAAATTCTGGAAGTGGATCATGGTGATAGTTGTACAACATTATCAATGTACTGTATTGTACACTTAAAAATGGTTAAAATGATTAGAATACAAAATATGACATGGTTAGTCATAATTATATTTTTTATTAGCTGCATTATTCTGGGAACGCATGTCATTAAGCTTGTGAAACTATTACCTGGAATAATTTAATTATAACTCTAATAACACTGATGTTTACTCAGAATTTTCTTTTTATTTATTTATTTTTTTTTAATTTTTTTTTTCAACGTTTATTTATTTTTGGGACAGAGAGAGACAGAGCATGAACGGGGGAGGGGCAGAGAGAGAGGGAGACACAGAATCGGAAACAGGCTCCAGGCTCCGAGCCATCAGCCCAGAGCCCGACGCGGGGCCCGAACTCACGGACCGTGAGATGGTGACCTGGCTGAAGTCGGACGCTTAACCGACTGCGCCACCCAGGCGCCCCCAGAATTTTCTTTTTAATAAACTAAACAAATTATAAGAAATAAGTCAACAACTTCAAAGTGTATCTGCAAAGCTTTCATACTCAGCTAAAATGTGTCAGATTTATTTTTTTAATGTTTAGTTACCTATTTTTGAGAGAGAGAGAGAAAGCATCCCAAGTAGTCTCCAGCTGACAGCACAGAGCCTGATGCAGGGCTCAAACTCACAAACCATGAGATCACGGACCTGAGCTGAAATCAAGAGTTGGACGTTTAACTGACTGAGCCACCCAGGCGCCCCAAATGAATCAGATTTAAATACAGATATTACTGTATTAAATACAGATAAACAAATTACTGTATTAAATACAGATAAACAAACATCCTCAAAGTTCAAGGCAAGCCATGAACGAGATAGTTTTTAAAATAATCCTTAACACTGTTTGCTCCTCTTATCATCCAAATAATATTTTCTACTTTACGGACTTGTTATTTAAAAGTATCACACGCGGGGCGCCTGGGTGGCGCAGTCAGTTAAGCGTCCGACTTCAGCCAGGTCATGATCTCGTGGTCCGTGAGTTCGAGCCCCGCGTCGGGCTCTGGGCTGATAGCTCGGAGCCTGGAGCCTGTTTCCGATTCTGTGTCTCCCTCTCTCTCTGCCCCTCCCCCGTTCATGCTCTGTCTCTCTCTGTCCCAAAAATAAATAAAAACGTTGAAAAAAAAATTTTTTTTAAATAAAAAAAAAAAATAAAAGTATCACACGCAAAAAATCAAAACCGTTGGGTCAAGCGTCCCCAGTACGAAAGGGCCGGGAAACTAAAATGCCGTCCAAGCAAATGGAACCAGGATCACGACTGCCTGAAAGAGAGCCGTTCCTCTAAAGTCCTCTTCTTTGGAAGAAAGCAGCGGTTAGTTGGCATCTGAAATGTTTTCTCTCTTTGGAAACTGTTGCCTGAACAGTAAGTCATGTCAGCTTTGACTCCGTCCCCTTGAGACCTGAACCAAGTGAACCCTGAAGTCACCATTGAGCAACTGCTGCAGCCGTGGGGCGTCTGGAATTTGTTGAGGGCACTGAGCCTTAAAACAGAACAGCTGTTGTGGAATGCTGTTACAAGACACCTAGGGGGACTGGAGGCCTCAGGGACACCCTCGTCCGTTCTGAACAGGGAGGCCAGTCACCGCTTCGTTACTTCCTCGGGAGACAGGTTGCAAAGATGAAAAAGTGTCCAAGTGCGGGCCTGGACACGACAACCCGATGAGTGAA